TTTACAGCCGTCATTTGTGATAATACCTGATCTGTATTGACTTAAGGAGCTCCCGCCAATGATAAAAGATTAATCTGACCACCGGCATTACAAGCCATAACGGTGGTGGCAAAACGCTGGTGGACAGGTGCTACACCTCTCTGACCAATGCGGTCGTGCGATTTCCAAATGCATGCGCACCCAAGTTAAATAATGCACGCGTGAGTGCCATGCTAACGCATTGAAAGTGTCATTTGGCAAAAGTATTTCATATGAATTTTAATGTCAACCCCTCCATTGTAGTTGGCGTATCACTCATTACATTGTAAAAGGACAGCTAATTTTTGACTCGTGTTCATTCATTGCTGAATTCCTCTGGAAAAAACTGAACCAATTTTTCTTTAGGTAGGGAAAAATTGCCAAACAATATGTCTGCCAGATCGATAAATATGAGCATAACTGACTTACAACCGTTCTATATATTTCAATTTAAATTCGTTAAGTGAGGACTTCATTCTGACATCACAGAAAGTAAATAATTCAGCATCAAGTTTCACATATATTTACCTAACGTCAGCCCTCATAAAAACCACATTGCGTCAAAATCTGTCGGGTCCTTTAATTGTGAACGTCACACAAGTGTGAGATCGTGTGATGGAGTGGAAAACCTTTTATCAATGCAACTGCAATCGCTTGACATATGTGATAACTTCACAACCTGCAACGTCGTTGTTCGTTTTTACGATTTTTTTCGATCATAATTTTATTGTTTGTTTATATCTCGGCATTATATCGTATATTTCCTTAATTCCCTCAATTCAAGGCTTGTATTTTCTCTGATTGACATCAAACTTGTGTGTGGGTAAAAATGCCTTTTTTTAATTCAGTCAATTTATATTTCAAGTCGATGAAGTCGATGATGGTGTAGAATGTTTCTTTGCTTAGAAATGCAATTTGAATGAGGGTACTTGGACTTGAATATCGTTACTGTGTAGTCGGAAACCTCAGCATAATGTTCTTTCTAGTTGACTGAAAGATGTTCTGAAGCTGGTGTCTTAATCCTCCTCCGGCAAAAGTCAACAAAACTTAATATCTGAATAAACTTAATACAAGAAGCCTGCATAATACAGAAGAAAACCCTGCAAATGGTAGTAAAGAGAAAACCTATTTCAAATATCGTTTCAGTGCAGTCGACATGATTCTTCGTCAAGCGCCACATATGATTAATCTGGCAAAAAGCGACGGTTTTACACCTCTGCATATAGCTGCCTTGAACGGTTACACGGACATGGTACTGACCTTTCTCAAGCAGGTACGGAGGAAAAGTTACTNTTTTAACCAAAATAAAGGTTCGTGGACGTTTGCCAAAAATAGTGCTTTGAAAAGTTGTGCTTTTATTAAATAAGAATGTCGTTCAAAATTCACAATATTATATTAATTCTATGTTTTTATTAAGGCACAGGTGAAAACTAGCAGTTACCTAAACGTGTAGAATTGGAGTCGGATATGTAACCTGGTTTACGCTAATATGTTTTAAAAAAAAAACAACTTAAAAGGAATTTGGAAAAAGTTCGTCTTTTATGACATTGGTTTGTTCAAGGAAATCTGCTGGACGATGGCGCTAGTGTAAGGCTACCAACTATACGTACCATCCAGTCATGATAAAAGTGTCTATATTGTTTCTAAGACTAATTATCCCCCAAAACGAAATCTATTTGTTTACAAAATGCCGGTTAATATCACTGCTGTCATCCAAACCCCATGACAGAATTACATGTGACAAAAATACCAATCCAACTTTCCCTGCTTGAATGGAAATAAGACCCATTTATTTTTTTCTCTTATGACAGAAGCACGGGGGTGAGGCGTCTGATATCAGTCGGGATAGAATAATTGAGTTGCTGGTGAAGAACTCAAGCGTTGATATGACGCTGAAAAATAACAACGATTTCAGCTGTTTGCATTCCGCAGCAGTTCGAGGGAATAAATTGTACGTATGTAACGCAAAAATATACATTATTCGGGCTGCACGATCGTTCGAATAATAAACCACTTCGTGTCTCGTTTTAATTGCTTGATGGTGCATCCTAGGGAGCAGATAAGAGTAGGCAACTTCTAAACAGCATTAAAATTAGCCCCACAACAGCTTATTGAATGTTAATTCAGAAGGTAAAACATAACTTACTTAAAAGTCAGAGGTACTGCTTCATATTACAGCTTTACACCATGCTATTCGTTATCCATATCATTTCAGTGTTATTGACCAGATTCTCCAAGTTGCGCCACATTTGGTGAACATGCCACAGAACGACGGTTTTACACCACTGCATCTCGCTGCCTTAAACGGTCACGTGGACATTGTGCTAACCCTCGTAAAGCAGGTAAGCAGATAAAGACGTTTTAAGTGGCAGGACAAACC